CTTACCTTGATTACAATGTAATATCCTGAACATATATTCATACACACATACTGACTCGTTATACTATCTGTGCATTTTAGCATATACACGAGAGAATTCACACGCACGCATGTGGTAACATCTATTGTTGGCAATTGCTGAGGAAACTGGTGCCAGGATTGTGAAATTCACTATTCAGTGCCTAGCACAACATCAAGCTTAAGTGGAGTCACTCAACGGACTTTACAATTGACCACGTCATGCTGCTGGATGCAAAATGTTGGAAGAAGAGGCTGAAGTCGATGTAAATTTGAAAACCTTTTTTCCTTGTAGGAAAAAGAGTGGAAACATAAGCGTTTTCTGCCGTACCTAGAGGGAGAATGCTTAATCACAACGGGAAGGTTGAAGCGTTGGTTAAAGCAAGCATAACAGGGTTTACAAACAGCCCCAAATCAGAAAAAGGTGAGAGAAGAGGAAGGAAGACAGATCATGCAGAATAAATAATACATAAAATCCAATCTTTTAAAAATCTAAGGTCTTACCAAACAGAAAGGAGGAAAAAGAGAAGATTTCAACAAGAGAGTGTTAAAGATGGAAAAGAGCCAGAAAGGGCTGTAGGTTAAAAAAAAAAAAAAAATCAATGAAGAAGTAGTGGTGTACATTGGCAAAGAGAAGTGTAGAATTGAAGGAAGGGAGAGAATTTATGGTAGAGGAAGTTGGTGTGAAGTTTTCCTCTAAAGATGCCCCGCAGAGCAAAGAAGGAATGAAGGCAAAAGCCACTGGGAATAAGGTAGGGCTGGGACTGAAACAGCACAGGAGAAAGCAGCAGGGCCCAATATAGTAAATCATTTTCTTTTTTTTAAATTAACTGACCCAGATTTTCTTGTTTGGGGCCAAAGGCAACTGCAGGATTTAAAGATCTTTAAAATAAATTATTAAAATCCTAATTCTTGGAATTGCCTTCAGCCCAAGATAAAATAAATATAAAGATCATGATATGATAGAATGAGCGTCAGTTTCTGAGACAAATACCATCATAGAGTTGATTTTAGAAATCAGACTAATAAGTACTGTTATATAAATACTATTGTGAATAAAACAGATTTAGCTTTCTCTCTCTTTTTATCAGCCACAGGCTAAACACAGAAACTCCACAGTTACATACATGTGCACAGAAGATAATAATATAATACATATGTAAAGCTGGGTTATTTGTATACTGTAGCCCAGTGCCCACTCCAAGAAATGTTTTACTTGGTTTGGGTTATAGGGCAGTTTAAATGGCTGCACAGAAGAAAGTTAAGGTTAAAAATAAAGACCATAAGATGAAGGAGGGGAAAACTAGAAGGATTGTGCTGATACAAAACTGAGGCACTAGAAACAGAATTCACTCAGGTCACTGCGAGAAAAAGGGACACAAAAGCACGATAATGCCATGTAACTAATCTTGATAGCCTCAACTTTGGGTTTTAAATCAAATATTGAATCAGATTTTTCAACTTTACTATTTTTAAAAACCCAACACTTAATCGTTTGATAAATGTAGTTACACAGTGTTAAATGACTATAAAAATTAGCATATCCATGCCTAATTCTTCAGCAAAGACGGAATGGGAGGCAGTAATGTTACACACAGATAACCTTGCCTTTAAGTCAGTCACTACTCTTCTTGCTCAGAGGCCGTCATTGCCACCTGCAAGGCCAAATCCAAATTCCTCACCCCAGCATTCAAAGCCTTTAATGACTTGGCTACAGGGTACCTACCTAACCTTAAGTCCCACCACCCTCTAAACCTACCTTCCACTCTCCGAGCACACAGGCCTCTGGGCAGACCTTACCTCTGGGGTCTGGCCATTTCCACCTTCCTACCTGATATGAAGTCTCCTTTCATCTACAGGCTCTGGCTCGCCAAGGCCTACACTGGCGCTGTGATCCTCCAGCACTCCAGTCCACCGTGCTCTCACTCCACAGCCCCACACTCCTCCCCTCCCCAGACAGTCTCACCCACTTGCTGTTTTGCCCAGGGCCCCTTTCCCTTCCCACACGAGCTCTGGGGCCTTCTCCCTGCCCCAAGATTCTCCCAAGGGAGGCTCCCTGCCTGCCTCCATTCAGTCACGGGCTCTGTATTCAGTGTCTATTAGGGGTTTCGCGCCTGGGGTGAAACCAGGACCTCGACCCCACAGGACCCTTTTTCCCTTTACTCTCCCCAGCGCTACGGTAACCCTGAAGGGGTTCCCCCCACCACCACCCTCAGGGGCTCCGGCCACCCAAATCTCCCCTCTGCGGCCGGTCCCTCCTATCCGGCAGCGGGCCGCAGGGGTCGGCGGTGACTCACCGGAGGGCCGGCGGCCGGGGGGCCGGAATGCGCTCACTTCCTCGCCTCGCGCACCTGCCTGCTGGGCACCGCTGGAGCGCCGCCCGGCCGGGCCTCCGGCGGATGTTTTTTCTGTCCCAGCGCGCGCGCGCGCGCCAATCACCCCCTAC